CTACTCTTTACCAACGAATAGTGGGATTGACCGTCACATTATAACGCCCCCACGGCTGAAAGGGCGAGCATGTTTGGTGTGACGGGGATTCGAACCCACGACCCTCGGATTGCGAGTCGAGCGCCCTAACCACCTGTCCATGCCGGGCCTGTTCCCGATATTGTTCACGCGGACTACCGTTATATATATATATATTCTAGCAACCAGTCCTCCCTATAAACTTTTAACCTCACCGATTACCAATAACTGTTAGTTACTTAATATTCCGATCGCATGACGTGACAGAAAACAACTTTTTTGGTTTTGTTTTTATATGCACTCGTGTTTCACATGCATGAATTTGATTAGATTACATAAACATTTGTTGTTGTTTTTCCTTCTAGATTTCGTCACCAGTTGTTATTGTTACAGCCAATCGCAAGTCGTTGCGAAACGAGCAGTTTTCGATTCTCTTTGAGTTCAAGATCAAGTTATCAAATTGTATTGCATGGATCATATTAAAGGATTTAAAACTTACCTCCATGACTAAGTACACGTGATGAGAAGTTTCCTGAAATGAAAAAAGTAATTCGTTAGATTTTAAAATCTTACTTTTTACATAAAGGTTACGAAACACTAACTTAAAACGATAACACATACACATACAGACAAATAAACAAATTCTCAAAATAACACAACTCTCTAGCATGAAATTATCAATTGTAAATGTTACATTTTTTTTTATATAATAGCTACAAAACACTATTTTAAAACGACCCCCCCCCCCAACACATAAAAAACAAGATATCAAAATGACAGTGAAAGACATTGTGACATTAACTTATTGATTTTTTTTTCTTTTACACGAAGCTAGAAATCAGTATAATCGAAAATGAACTCCAGTCTCTCAAACACGCATACAAATAAATCAATTTTTCAAAATAACACAACCATCTTGAGGCGGTTACAGCCCAACATTCTGAAGGGTCACAGTTTCAAAGGGCTGATGTAGTTAAGCAGTTACTCACGTAGGCCTGATATTCATTCAGGATGTATTACATAAACAGAACTATTATGTGTATAATGTTATATTATTATTAACTAGCTGGAGTACATGTCCCCTGGATCGAAATTATGTAAATTCATGCTTAATGAAAGGTTATCTTAGGTCATGAAAAGTTGCTTCTCTTATATGTAATCATTAAAAACGCCCATAAAAACTCCAAAACACAAAATGTGAAACCGCAATTTTACATGTATCTCCGCATAGACCCAACAAACCTTCATGCCAAATTCGGTGAAGATCCATCAAAAGGGGGCAAAGTAGTGGTGCCGTAAAACTTGTATGTATCTCCCCATGGACCCAGTAAACATCCAAACCATACTTGGTGAAGATACATTCACAGGAGGTGAGATAGTGGTAAAAAACATCTATGGAAAAACTGAATATTTGTACGTACCCCGCATGGACCTAATGAAATCCACATACCAATTTTGATGAAGATATATTCATACCCTGCTAAGTAGTTACATGGACATACAACAGACAATACTATTATATTTATATAGATATTAGGGACATAAGCTGATAACGTTTTGAGGTATATTTGTAATCATTCCACTCCAGAGACCTCTAGTATTATTACCCATAATTAAAGCTTTCTAATTATTTTAAATATGTCAAAATTGTCACATTATTATTATTATAGAAACAGGATGAAAAAGTATAATAACGTAAACTCTAGTGCTAATGGCGGAAATTTTTCGGAATATGATTGGTCTGTCCCCCTTGTGGCACAAATGTATTATTTGAAAATGAAACATCTATTAGCCTAACCGTTGGTAGCTTACCCTAACGTTAAACCTTCACACAACTTCGTTAAATACTGTGCTTCAGCGACTATTACGACAACTATAGATTCAAGTCGACCAAACACCAGTACCAGTAGACTGATTTATTTATTTTTTTTTAAAAAGGAAGTATTTTTGGTTTCAAAGGATCAGACACGCAGGCATTTCTAAAGATGACGCAACTACGCTGGGTTTATAAGTCGTGTGTACTATAATATGGTCGATAAAGGCTTAATTTGGTGAGTCTTATTACGTAAACACGCGCTGTTGTCTTCCTTTAATGACTTTTAAAGTGCACACATGTGTATATTTATATACTAGCAGAGACCCGCAACACATTTGCGGTGAAATAAGTATCTTTATTGCAACATTACTTCTTCAAATACAGGAGTTCGAGAATAATATAAAATAATTCCACTCGCGGACACTAAATTCTGTCCATTTGTCTTAGGCTTAACATTAGTTAAGCCTTTATTAAAATAAGGCCTATATTGAATAAAGAGAAATTAACACTGTAACTTACATATGTTTTTAGCTTAGTTATGGCTAAACATTACTGAACTTAATACTATCAATAACCACATTTGTAATGTCATTATACGACCTAACTTTAGACCTTTTTAAAAACTTTGATAAGCCTTTAATATGTGGTACATAATGCTTACTAAAGTATATTTACATCCGTTGAAATGGAAAGTGCGCGCGCATGCGCCTTCAGATAGTAAGGTAAGCGCTATTAAAATGCGAGTATTATTATAATTGAAATTAATAAACTTGTTACATTTCTATGTGTATTTACGTTAAATTGCTCTATGCGTAAATTTATGTCTTGCCCCGGTATCACATTAAATTTCTAATTCACCGTTAACATTTGGTTACATAAAATCAGTCATTACCAGAAATACGCCTTTACTTGCACTGCAATGGATTCCCTTAGAACCTGCAAATTTTTTATATTACAACACCTTCCCTACAGGCCGGGCACGTCCTATTTGTGGTTAGCGTACCCAGCTAGGTATCAAAAGGTTCGACGTTCGAATCGTGATATGCTGCTTAACACGCGCAAAACTTTCTGTTGTGGTGGCGTTATTACCGTAACAACCAACTCCACTATTTAGTTAAGAGTGGCCGGGTAGGCGGCTGCTGCTGCATTGCTGGTTGTCTTCCTCACGGTTAGAATTTTAAAACTGGGGTTGACTGTGCCTCAACCCTATGCGTCTCTGACCACCACGAATTAGCCCACGTAGCGCATACTGTACAGTTTTAATTAATAGGTTGAAAGCGTAATATTCCGCCTATATTGTTGTGATATATTTTATTGAAAGGGAGAGCACAAATTGGACAATTCTATTAAGCTCTTTATTTATTATTAAATCTAACACATTGTATGAATTTTCAAATATATCGTTATTTACACCAAATGGCGCACGTTTCGACGCGATAACCGTGACAGTCAACCCTGCTGGTAGGTTCAAAGTAGCCGCAAGTAGGCAGGTGCTGCTGACTAGTTGCTCTCCCTCTGGTCAGCAGAGATGGCCACAGTTTTAAACCTTGGGAGACTCAAACCTGGCCTTTTAGAGTATGTTGAAAACACCAAACACTTAATAGCAGTCATTCTGATTTTGATCAGAAATTCGACAATATTTTAACCATCCTTTTACACGTACAAAATCATATTAAATTTTGTATTCGAAAAAAAAAAAACAGTTTAGTTTTAAATCGAGAACAATTATTTGTTATCTTATGACGCTTTTATTGTTGTTCAAAACCCGATTTCTTATCTAAGTAATCAAAAGTTTAGCATCACACACCAACCGTGATTTGGTTTAGCTTGTTTATATCCCAGAGACTGTCCAGAACAAATAGAACACTGATGCGCATGCTCCATTCACAACTACATGCGAAAGCATTACGTATCTAGTCTTTTAATTCACGACAGATTATTTGATCACTTATTTAGGCCTTGCGCAGTTATATATTTTTTATCAGAAACAAAGACATGCCTGTAACTGGTTGGAGTCCGTTTGTACACGACAAGCAATCGCATTAAATTACTATAATTATCCGTATAAGCACCAAAACTTATAATGCATTTCTTTGAAAGTATATAAGCAGGTTTTCTTCTAAGATTCTAAATTCGAACGAATGAACAGGACACTGCACTGGTGCTAGCAATATAATCACAAGATTATTCAGTTGTTTAACTTGGCGTAGCAAGACGAAGTTGTTTACTTCGGTTGCTGATGTCACCGAGTTGCAAACAACAAAAGTTTTTACGTATTGTATCATTGTTTGGTAATGAATGTTTTGCGTCTCCCACGAGTAGGATTCGAACTCTTAGAACCTGTTTTACATCAAACTCGCTACTGGCTGAGCTAAAAATCCTCCAGCCCATTTGGAATCCAGTAAATAGCTTTAGTACAAAATAAATCTGGCTTCATAAATAAATATTTTGTTTTCAAAGTATGTTCACCATCCTTTAACACATTCTCCAGTTTTAGGACGCCACCTATAGTCTGTTACTTCAAACGTTGTGACGGCAAGCACAAATATTTATACCTTCGTGTAGTATTGCGGGTAGTTGAACAAACCAAATTGTAGGGTACGTTCGATTACGCTAACGCTGAAAAGGGCCGTTAGGGGGTAGGTTTGTAGTCAGTTGCATATAACCTGTACGAGTGCGTCATTCAAAACCGCAAACTTCAACTACATCTAAGCACAAAACAAACAACACGTAGACTACAATTCGTTTTCCTGGATATTACTGGGGAAACAGCCCCAGCTGTGTACAAACAGTATCTCGTTATCATAATTACGATAATCTCATACGAGTAGTTAGAACAAAGATTGTTATAAGTGTACGACCATTAAGTTTCCAAGGTAAAGCACACACAGAGAGATTGATAAAATGACCTGGTTTGTTTATGCCTCTCAGGAGTAAAGAGCATGGAAACGTGAACTTGCAACGGTGACAGTGTATATTGCCTCAGGCGCAATGACCGATCTCGGCTCAACAATCTATCATCACGTAGAGCGTTACCATGTGCTGTGAGAGACCCTAGAGACAGCGAGGATTTATATAAACGACTACGTCACGGTGCTATGAAATAGTTAATGGTATCCTTTTCTATGCAAAAAAAAAAAGGGGGGGGTGTTTACATATAAACAGATGTGATTTAAAAACAAATATGATTATTCCTCAATCACTCGAATCATTTAAAGCAAAAATTATATGTTATATAAATATCGAACACGAAGCACTACAAAATAATAATAAAAAAATGTCTAGGTTCAATAAAAATTGAAAAATACGTAATTAAAAAGTGTACAAAGAGTGATCCTGCGTGACATATCTTCGTCCTAAATAATACGTTCTTGTCAATGATAGAATACCGCTTATGATATACAACATTGTTGATTGACAAAAAGGGGACATGGATAAACGTTTCGGAATTCTATCAGATTCCACCTTCAGTATATCTTCTATAATATCGCTTCTTTTTTCTAATATTTGTCCTTCTGGAATTAAATACTTTGTCACCTCT